AATACGGAAAAGCCTAAAAAACAGGGAAAAAAGGTAGAGTCAGCAGGATTCCCTTAGAACAGGGAAAAGAACCGAGTCCAAAACACAATCTAACACACTAAACAGTACCCAAAACCCACACTAAACAGTACCCAAAACCCAAAAAGAGAAGTGACGTCCCTTTAAAAAATATTAATTGTCATGGCAAGGAAAAGATTACCCAACACAACATTAAATGATGCAGCTATTCATGTCTGAAAAGACATTTATTAACTTCCGAAACTGTTTCATTCTCGTCTAGCCTCGCATAACTCTGTTACTTCTATTAACGAAATTCTGCATATAGGGTCACATGCTGCAATGTAAGCAGCCACATGGCAGGAGCAAATTTCCAGCAACAGCATTGTTTCTCTTTCATTTTTTTTTTTTAGCCACATGGCAGGAGCAAATTTCCGACAGCGTTGTTTCTCTTCCTTTTTTTTTTTTTTTTTCCTGAGCTGCTAGATTTTTCGGAGTTGCTGCTTTGCTTGGAGCTTGGAGCTTGGAGGAGGTGCACTTGAAAGAGAAGAAAGGAAGGTTGGAGGATGTGGATAAGGGCATTTAAGTAATTTTATTTTTTAATATATTAACTGATTAAAAAAATGCAAGTTTTTCTGTTGAATTTACACGTCATTAACATTTAAAAAAGTAAGTGATTTTGTGCGAATCTAACGTTCCACCTGTCATTCCCGTCAACAAAGGACGATATTTCGTATCAAAAATAAAAGTTTAAAAATGCTTTTGGTATTTTTAAAAGTTCAGAACAATTTTGACACTAAAATGAAAAGTTAAAGGACCAAAATGGTACTTTAACCTTCTTTTTTTCAAAACACATGAAAGGAACAAATCGTAAACAAAAGGAGAACAAACGGATGATCAATAACTTTCCATAGAGAACTGGCTACAACTACACTGTACAATATCCTGCAATAAAAAAAAAAAAATCACCTGTACTCAATTTTAAAAGGGCACAAAAAATACAG